GTGGTTGCAGGGGCGGTGCCCGGGCGGTGCCGCTGCTCCCGGCCCGGCCCCGCGGCGCCTCCCGGGGGCTCCTGGGGACGCTCCGGAACCTTCCGGGAGCCATGGCCAGGTGGGCGGGGCAGGGGGCGGGGCCAGGGGGCCATGGGCGGGGCCTCGGGGGCGGGGCCTGGGGGGCGGGGCCGTGGGCGGGGCCAGGTGGGCGGGGCCAGGGCGGGAGGACGGGATTGGTTGGGAGGGGCCACGCCCATGGGTGGGGGTGACCTAAAGTGACCCCAAAAGTGACCCTGGGACCCCAAAACTGACCCCAAAACTGACCTTGAAAGTGACCCCAAAATGACCCTGGGACCCCAAAACTGACCCCAAAACTGACCCTGGGACCCCAAAACTGACCCTGGGACCCCAAAATTGACCCCAAAACTGACCCTGGGACCCCAAAACTGACCTTGAAAGTGACCCCAAAATGACCCTGCGACCCCAAAACTGACCTTGAAAGTGGCCCCAAAATGACCCTGGGACCCCAAAACTAACCCTGGGACCCCAAAAGTGACTCGGGGACCCCAAAAGTGACTCGGGGACCCCAAAATTGACCCCAAAACTAACCTGGGACCCCAAAACTGACCCCTAAAGTGACCCTGGGACCCCAAAACTGACCTTGAAAGTGACCCCAAAATGACCCTGGGACCCCAAAATTGACTCCAGGACCCCAAAACTGACCCCAAAAGTGACCCCAAAACTGACCCTGGGACCCCAGAATTAACCCAAAAACCCCAAAAGTGATCCCAAAACGACCCCGGGACCCTTAAAATGCCCCAAAACTGATCCAAAAGTGACCAGGGGACCCCAAAAGTGACCCTGGGACCGCACCCATGGGTGTCTTTCTGACCCCACCCATGGGTGTCTCCCTGCCCCACCCATGGGTGTCCCTGCCCCACCCATGGGTGTCTCCCTGCCCCACCCATGGGCGTGTCCCTGACCCCACCCATGGGTGTCCCTGCCCCACCCATGGCTGTCCCTCCCCACCCATGGGTGTCCCTGCCCCACCCATGGGTGTCCCTGCCTCACCCATGGCTGTCCCTCCCCACCCATGGGTGTCCCTCCCCACCCATGGCTGTCCCTCCCCACCCATCGGTGTCCCTGCCCCACCCATGGGTGTCCCTGCCTCACCCATGGCTGTCCCTCCCCACCCATGGGTGTCCTGCCCCACCCATGGGTGTCCCTCCCCACCCATGGGTGTCCCTCCCCACCCATGGGTGTCCCTCCCCACCCATGGGTGTCCCTCCCCAGGCTGCTCCTGGCGCACACCCTGGGCCGCCGGATGCTGTTCCCGGGCTCGGTGCGGCTGCTGCAGCGAGCGCTGCTGCCCGCCCTGCTGCAGGGCCAGGCGCGCCTCATCGAGCAGGTGGGAGCCCCAAAATGTCCCAAATTCATCCCAAAATATCCCCAAAATATCCCCAAAATATTCCCAAAATATCCCCGAAAATATTCCCAAAATATCCCAAAATATCCCTGAGATTTCCAGCCCAGCCGCGCCCTGCTGCAGGGCCAGGCGTGCCTCATCGAGCAGGTGGGAGCCCCAAAATAGCCCAAATTTATCCCAAATTTATCCCAAAATATCCCTGAAATATCCCCAAAATATCCCCCAAAATATCCCCAAAATATCCCCCAAAATATCCCAAAAATATCCCAAAAATATCCCTGAAATATCCCAAAATATTCCCAAAATATCCCAAAATATTCCTGAGATTCCCGGCCCAGCCCCGCCCTGCTGCAGGGCCAGGCACGCCTCATCGAGCAGGTGGGAGCCCCAAAATGTCCCAAATTTATCCCAAAAATATCCCCAAAATATCCCTGAAATATCCCAAAAATATCCCCCAAAATATTCCCAAAATATCCCAAAATATCCCTGAAATATCCCAAAAATATCCCCCAAAATATCCCCAAAATATCCCTGAAATATCCCAAAAATATCCCCCAAAATATCCCTGAAATATCCCAAAATATCCCTGAAATATCCCAAAAATATCCCCCAAAATATCCCCAAAATATCCCTGAAATATCCCAAAAATATTCCCCAAAATATCCCTGAAATATCCCAAAATATTCCCAAAATATCCCAAAATATCCCTGAGATTCCCAGCCCAGCCCCGCCCTGCTGCAGGGCCAGGCGCGCCTCATCGAGCAGGTGGGAGCCCCAAAATGTCCCAAATTCATCCCAAAATATCCCCAAAATATCCCTGAAATATCCCTGAAATATCCCAAAAATATCCCCCAAAATATCCCTGAAATATCCCCTAAAATATCCCTGAAATATCCCAAAAATATCCCCAAAATATCCCTGAAATATCCCAAAAATATCCCCCAAAATATTCCCAAAATATCCCAAAATACTCCTCGAAACGTTCCCGAAATATCCCTGAAAATATCCCGAAATATTCGACGAGATATTCCTGAAAACATCCCAAAATATTCCTGAAAACGCCCCAAAAGATTTCCTGAAGTATTCCCCAAAATCCCCTGAAAACAGCCCCGAATCCCCCCAAAATCCCCCCCAATATCGCTCCAAAATGACCCAAAATCCGCCCAGATTTCAGTAAAAGCACCTCAAAATCCCCCCAAAATCTCTCCAAAATTCCCCCTGGACCCCAAGTCCCCCCAAAATTCCCCAAATTCCTCCAAATTCCCCCAAAATTCCCCGAATTCCCCCAAAATCCCCCAAAATCCACCGAATTCCCCTGAAATACCCCAAAATCACCTGAATTCCCCCAAAATCACCCCAAAATCACCCGAATCCCCCCAAAATCACCCCAAATTACCCAAAATCTCCTGAATTCCTACAAAATCCCCTGTCTTCCCCCGAAATTCCCCCAAAACTGCCCCAAATTCCCCAAAATCACCCGAATTCCCCCAAAATCCCCTGACTTCCCCCCGAAATTCCCCCAAAATCCCCC